ATCAAGTGGACCAGATGTGCCAAACCCAATGGTAGGAGTTAACTTTGGCGTAGGAGGCGGCTGCTCTTCATCCCAAGCCATCAAAAGCATTGGTAATAGGCTGAGCAAAGCAACAGGGAGTGCAAGTGACAAATGACTCTGCTCAAAAGAGGTTGGCTCTACGTCAACTAGAGGTGAAGATAGTGCAGGGAGAAGGCGAATAAGCATACGATAGGTAGGGTCCACTAGAGTCGATGACCAAGATAATCCCTGTACAATGAAAATGTAAAAAAATGCCTAAAATAAAATATACTATAACAATCCTAAAAATATTTTTGCTTAATCAAATCACGTAGTAATGAAATCCCTTAGAAATAAATCGAATAGGAGGGTTTGAAAGTATATTTGATTATGCTTGCGAGAGAATAAAAGGTTGTGTGAAAAGAACTAGGCACAAGTATAATCCTTTATATTGGAACTAATTCAGAAGCAAGATCATCATGCTGAGGGCCAAAAATAAAATCGAACAAGGAAAATTGAAAACTCGTAATAAAATATAATTATATGAATTATCTAACAAAGAAAGGAAGATTCCTTTCAAAAAAATAATGATACATCAAAATAAACACGAGTTATTTATGAAAGGAAAAAAAGTTTGAAGGTGCGAAAATAAGAAGCAATAGTAAAATGACCTAGTTGTACATAGTTTTCCTTTATAAGTAGGGTTTTGAGACTGCCAGCAAATCAGTCATGAGATATATTCGCCAGATTTCATTTAAGGTGATGAAAGACTGGCAATTGAATTTTCCCACAATGATACGAGTAGAACTGCCGTTTCTATTTAATTTCACATAACCTTGTTTTCCCAGATGGTATTCTCATCGTTGACGGTGTCGAGATTATACACTGAATTGTCATGGTTCGAATCACATTAAGGATGTTGATAAGACCTGGGAGAGGTATAAACCGCAATCTATCCTGAATGAAAACATCTTTGGGGAAAGCAGGGCTATGTGAAATTCCATGGAAACGTCAGCTCTACTCATGTCATTGTGAGAAAATTCAACAATCAGTACTTCATCACTTCAAATGAAATATGGTGAATACATATACCTTTAACAATACCTAAAAGGCAACCCTCTATAGATAATAAAAAAGTAACTTCTCCCAAAACTACTGAAAATAGAAATATAGAGGCTTGAAAAAGAAAGCACATAGTATTGGCTTGATGTTGTTTTTTAAAGATATGAAATCCAAGATCGTAGGGCCTTCGGTATAGTCGCATTCTCCTTTCGATGTATATAAGTGGGTCGACCCTGTTTTCGCAACTTAGTTGTGTTGTCAGGGTGACTTAGTTGGACGCACTTTGTCTGACATTCTCTGATATATTGTTTATCATAAGTCCCAGTGTCGGACCGTTCTCAGACGTTTCGACGGCATCATAGTCGGCATAATTAGTGAATCCTACCAGCCCCAAATTCCAATTCGCCAGAGATATGTGGAGTCAATTCCTTAACCAAACTTTCTGCCGAACCTGCTGTTCACTCTTTCGATGGGCTGATCCGATTTGGGCCTCTTATTCGGACCTGCCAATCGAAGGAGAGGACGGCAAATTGTAACACATGTGATGACGCCACA